ACTTTTGTGAAGAAAATAAGTTTGGTCCTTTATATTTTAGTTTTATTGTTTTCATCCTTATTGCTTGCATAATACTCCATCTATTCAACCTTAATGGACTTAACTTTTCTTGTCTAATAAAATAAGAATATAATAATTAATTGATAAAATTTCATATTTATTCTTAACTTAACAATATTTAAATAAGTCTTCTTATTTATTATATATTGTAATAATTTTTTTAAAATAAAGATAAAATTTTAAGAAAGTGTTAAAAAAAAGGGTAGTGTTATAAAGATAATTTTTTTTTTTCATCTTTTTATACAACTTACAAATATAATTAAATGAGTTGACACATTTAATATTATGGATCTCACATGAATTAAAATAACCAACCATTTTAATAACACGTCAAATTATAAAAAAAATAAAATAAAAATATTGTACAAAAATTATTTCTCATTCAAATATATCAAAAAAAAAATTGAATCTTAATTTAAAATCTACTCATTAAATATTCACGTCATAGCGTATGGTGCATTGTAAGACAAGAATGAACATGGCTAAGATAAAAGGGCAAAAGCAAATAAGAAGTGGCCCACTGACCAGCCGAGAGAGATGCCATTTTCAATTTTCCACCTCCGAAACCGCGGTTTTGACTTCGTTCACGGCTTTGCAGGCCCTGAGGTTTTACCATTGGCTGATGTTTGAGAACCTAACGTGTCTTGTTTGGTTATCTCCATCGAATTTAGCATCGAATTCTTTACTTACCCCGTTCCCCTCATCTCGTGTTTCCTGTCCACAACGTCTTTGATTCGTTTAATTTTCTTGTCGTCCTTACTTAACTCGGAATCGGATTTGAGCTTAAAACTGGGTTTGAAAAACCAATCGAGTAGAAATTCAAATTGCGCCCAAAATCCAATTTGGTTTGACTCAATTCGATTAAACTAACCTTGATTTAATTATATTAAAAAATAATTATATATCAAATATTTAATATTTTAATTTTATTTTAATTTAAATTTAAGCACTTGGTTTCATTTGAATTTATAAATAGAGTTTGAACTTAACCTATTTAAATTTGATAAAATTTTGAACTTAATTTTTATTATTAAAAAATTTCTTTAAATACATATATTATAGTTAATAAATTTTAA